TAGTATTCCAAAGGTCGTAGGTTCGAATCCCTCCGTGGCCAGGCATATTTTTCAAGCCTGCCCGGTGTGGATATACACTCAGAGTAACATCATACAAACATCTTATTCACCTGAGTACATTACACCAACACAGCAGATTACTTTCGATCATTGAACGCCACTTGTTTTTATTTCTGGTGCAAGAAGTACATTTGGCTTAAAATCCACATTACAAATTGTAATCTGTAACTAAGCTCTTTTATTGAGAGGGTAATTTTGTAATTGTAATTAATTCCTTTTTTAATAGTGATTTTTCAGCTCTGCTGATTTGAATGGGCTTTCAAGGCTGTGTTCCAGTCCTCGCATAATGCAACATCTATCTCATTTAGAAGAACGTGAACTACAATGAATGTTCTTGCTGCTGGGCCAGACTTTATTTCTTTGTTTAATTCATGGATTTTTGTTTTGCAAAATAATGGTATTTATAAGTCGGGGAAAACGAAATTCATTCTGGTCTTTGCATTCGGAGCATTTATTATATTTTATTCCAGATTTCTAAAATCTTGGATAAACGTCCTTCGGACACCACAACATTTTCGTATATCTTTACTGTCGTCTTCAAAAAGAGAAGATTTTAACATCAAAACGTTTTTCTTTTAGCGCTTTCCAAGTATTTATTTTTCTGGCACTGTATTTTAATAAAAGTGCGCTTCTTTTAAGGAACGTTTATATATGCTGCCGTTTCTTGTCTACGATTCGTATTATCTGCGCGACAATCGAATAAGGACGCGTATATCGCTTGCATTTCAAAGTTTGCAACAAACTAAATAAAGAAGAATCGTGGTGTTAGCAATATTTTTTTATACGCCAGAATAAATAATCGTATACCGCGACAAATCGCAGCGTGTAAAAGTTCCGTTAGCATTAATCGTATCATTACCATTAAATCTATTAAACGTATCAGCATTAGCATTAATTAAAAGCGCATTTGATCATTTAATCATGGAAAATGCGCTGTTGAAGTTTTTAATTACAATTACAAGTTAGTCAAGCAGAATCAAAAGAAAATTTATGAATATCATTAAACTTGGAAAACCAGCCGCTCCCAAGTGCCTCGCCTTTAAACTCCTTGTTACCTACCGTTTGTGGTTGGCCACCTGTAGTTCTGCTTGCTGTAATTACAACTCTATAGCGTATCTCAAATAAATCTGCTCATAAAACTCCTAGTTATCATCGCTAATATGAAGTGTAATTCATTGCAGTTATGTTGCTTTTAATCTTGAAGATTTTGAATTGAACTTTTGGTGAATAAAACGACGAAATAATGGCGTGTAGCAAATACGAGCTTGCATGGATACGAAGACAATCACTTCGAGACTGTTGTCAGTCAAAGATTTCATTGCCCCATTTGTTTCCTGGTTCTTAAAGATCCCGTTATGTGTAAGAACCAACACCACCATTGTTCCTGCTGTATCAAGAAGCATTTGGAAAACTCCGCGTTCTGTCCGACATGTCTTGAACACCTCAGTGTTGATACACTGAACGAAGTTCCGCGGATTGTAAACGATTATATATCTGAGCTGAATATTCGATGTGATTTCTACCCCAGAGGATTCCCTGAAATAGTTCAAGTTGAAAATCTCAAACGTCACGTTGGAAGTTGTGGATTCTCTCCCGTGCAATGTTCTAATGATGGATGTAATGTTCTCGTGAATACCAGCAACAAGCTTGACCACGAAACTGAAGTATGTGATTTTGGGAAATTGAAATGTCATCAGTGTGGTCAACTAAAAAACGAAGTGAGGGAATTGAGAGATGAAATGTTGGCTCGTCAAAAGAAAATGAAAAATGAAATGAAGGATATGAAACAGGAAGTAAAGGAAATGATTAGAAATGAAATAGAAAGAATAAAAATGGAACTGAAAAATGATATAAAAAATGAAGTGAAAGGCATGAATGTAGAAATAAAAAATCAAATGAAAGAAATGAGAGAAGAAGTAAAAACTGGAATAAAGGGAGAAGTGAATAGGATAAAAGAAGAAATGAAAAATGAAATGAGAGGAATGAAAGTGGAAATAAGAAATGAAATGAAGGGAATAATAAAAAACTGAATTAAAAGGAATAAAACAGGAAATGCATAATAACAAAATGAAAGACATAGTTGCGAATGCAGTGCGAGATGCAATGACAGGAATGGAAGGTCTGGAAGTAGAAATGCAAAATTCAAAGCAAAGTTCGAAAGCAACATGTTCTTCAGATGCGGTAGAAGACATCTTCATAGTTGGAGGAGAGCAGAAGAAGGGTTGGAAGTTCGTGAAGAACAAATCAGAAAATCTACAGAGTGTTTCAACTGGATCGACCAAACCTGGACATCCGCAGTATTTGAAGGTCGTTCCCACACTAGTTCATTCTTGTATCAAGGTCAAATGGTAATTGCTGGAGGTCTTGTTGATTATAAGAACAAAACAAATACCCTAAAATGTATAAACGTTAGAGATGCAGCAGCTACATGGAAAGATTCCGATTGTAAACTTCCTATCAGGTTCTCTAGTCATACAGTTGTCAATCATAACGATCTGTTGTTTCTGGCTGGAGGATATTGTCAACTTATTGAAAAGGAAATATTGAAACAATCCGATACTATCTATGAGGTGCAGTTGGCTCCACCATATTCCAGTAAGATCTTGACAAGATTACCACAAGAGATATCTTATCACGGCATGGAAATGTTTGATCAGAAATTGTTCATTCTTGGAGGGTTTGGTTTGGAGATCAAGGCCAGTGTGGTACAATATGATCTCATCAAGAATGAATGTAAAGAAAGGCCGCCATTGCCATATGCTGTGGATGAAATGGCGACTGTCTTATGGCGGAATAACGTGCTTGTGATCGGTGATGAGAGTACACGTAGTAAGTGCTTGAATGCGGTAATAATGTATGATGTCATCACAGGACGTTCTCAAATGTTGCCATGTATGAAGCATAAACGACGTGTTTGCACAGCGGTCTTAACTGGCAATAGGAATGAATGAAAAGAGCGAATATCTTAAGTCAGTGGAATGTTTTGATTTAGAACTTCACGTTTGGCAAGACTTGCCTGACATGCTAGTTGAACCAAGAGCTTATGCCACTGCTGTTGTCAAACCAAACCTTTGAACTCGGAGGCGGAAATTATAGTTTGCACATGGCATAAATAGTCCCATCCCCATGATGTATATATATATATATATATATATATATATATATATATATATATATATATATATATATATGTATGTATAAGATTTGGTTTCGTTGGTTATAAAAACTTTTGGTAAAGTGCTCAATGGAAAACCAGAGCATATTTAAATTAAGGTACAACAATCAACAAAAT